AATCAAAGTTGAAAATATATGTGTATATTCTTCCATTGATAGGGTCATGCAAGATAGACGAGAACAAGCAAGACAGGACTTGAAAGGTTTGGAAGAGACAGTGGTAAGAAAAACATGAAAATAAATAGGAGGGGGGAGTATTTTGTGAGTTTCTTCCACTCTGATTGTCCTAAATTTGAAGTCTGAATTCCAAAAATATTGCTGTTCTTAATTCAAGGCAAAAGAACTTCAGACTTTACACAACTTGCGCAAGCTCTTTGTTCAGGACCTGGCTACCAGAGTTAAAAAGGTAATATAACTATGCTGAGGTGGGTATTTGTATAAATGGCACTTACTCTGTAATTCTTTGTTTTCATAAATGAAGTAATTTTACATTGTCATGTCAATTTTTGTATAGTCAAGCTTAGAACTTTTTTGATCTTTAAATTTTTTTATAGTATTCATCAACCTTCTTTTCTCAGAGTGCCGAGATTGATTCTGATGATACTGGAGGCAGTGCTGCTCAGAAGCAAAAAATCTCCTTTCTTGAAAATAATCTTGAACAACTCACTAAAGTGCACAAACAGGTAATAAAGAGTATATTTTGTGATAGCTGCAACATTGTAAGAATCAAAAATTGAGTGGCGAGTATTTTAATCTTTCAGAGTTCTAAGATCTATTTCACTATTTTATCAAGCAATTATATACAAATAACACTAGTAACTTTTAGAGGAGTTAATATTTTTAACAACCTTATTATCAAAGGGGGCAATAAAAACATTCTTATTTTCTCTTTAGGGTTTTAGGACTGTCCATTTTCTTGATTTATTCATGGTAGTTTTTAAATTTTCAGTAGACAAGTCTTTGCAGTTAAAATATAGTCTTTTTTGGGAAGTCTTTTTACACTTAATGCCCACTATATGAAATATATGATGAGGCATTTCAGTTTTTCTTTTAAATAATGCTTACTAGGTGGTTTTTTTTTTTTTTTTTTTTGAGACTTGAGTCTCACTGTGTTGCCCGGGCTGGAGTGCTGTGGCGTCATCCTAGCTCAC